AATGCACTTCAGGGCATGGGGATTATAGTAATTCAGATGCCAGTAGGTTAAGCATCAATCTGTAAGTGTTAGTTGTACCAGATTAATGAAGCATCTGTGGTGTTTGCCCAGATTCGCTTTTCCTTTCAGCAATTTATCAGTTGTAGCATTCTAGAAAATAAAAGCTTAACAAATTCTGTTTATGCTTCTTTTTCACACTACTGTTGTAATCTATATTATTTAAATGGTGTTCCTCATTTCTAACATTTTCCCTAGGGCTTGAAGAACAGGTGTTCAGCTATAGCTCCAAGCTGTCAAAAAATGAAACTGGCAATGATTTTAACAGATACAGGGCTGAAGAAATACAAGAAAGTTGTAATTTTGAATAATTAAACAGCACACAGGATTTGTAAGACTACATCATCATTACCCAAAGGATATCTTGATTCAGATTTCATCGTAAACACAAAATGGGATGGTGGTCATGGTGGGACTGATACCGGAGACTTGGATTTGAGTTCTCATGTCCAAAGCATTTCTTTGCAGATCTAAGGAAACCACAATGGATCTGAATCAAAACCTGTCAAAATTGCTTTTGTTCCCTCTCCTGGGCCCAAAATTAGGGGAACGCTTGCTCTAGAGGGACCATGTCAATAGCCTGCTGTGGGAAGAGCACATCACTATGTAGCATTGCTCCACCTTCCCCTCCTGACTTTCTGGATAAAACTGGGATGTGGGGCGAATCTTTATCACTTACTTTCTCACCAAGCAGCAATGCCAGTTTATTGTGCGGCTACTTCACAGTATACACACAGGTACTGGAATAACATGAGTAGATGTAATCTTTTACTTGTAGTTGGGTCTGGAACAGAAAGTACGTGTTCAACTATCTGTTCCTTCTGTAAGTTCCAATAGACTGAGGAGCAAAAGACTTGGCCAAGTAAGTTTGTGTAGCTGTATTTATTTCAGGACCAAGGTCTGATCAAGACTAAAGAAAAAAGAGACACAGTGACTTAATGTTTTTGAAAAATGAAAAAAAAAAAAAATTCCTTGAATACTTTCAAGGAAATCACTGCTTCTTGCTGGCTAAATCGCCATCAAGTGCTGGCATACCTCATGGGCTAATTAAGATGAACAAACCACAAAATTTACCATCCTTCCAACTCAGTATTTTTAACAGTACTAAAAAATACTCCAAAAGTATTTTGCAAAAAAACACCAAGTGGCAGTAAAATAATGAATACATTCCACTGCTGACCAAAGAAAATGAAAGATAAATAAACAGAACTTACATTTTTTTCATATTCAGGTTTTCTGACATTTCAACCAACTCCAATATAGTGCTAATATAGCACAACTAGTATTAAGAGAATTAAAATAGAACAGAGGGAGTATTACTAACAGATCAAGAGACCCTGCACTGGTGTAAAGAAGAATGTAACAGTCCTTTGGGAGGACTACTGCTGCACTTTGGACTATGGTGAAGACCACAATGACTGGCAACTGATAAATAGGGTGGGTTTTTCTCCCCTAAGGGGCTCTGTGTTTGGACTTCGTTATTAACTTGAGCAATACCATGAGAACGAATTGCCTACCGCAATCTAAAAACAAGTGCTATTAGCTGCAATCACACAGCAATAATTGACCCTCTTCAGCTGTTAGCCCAGTGCTTCTGTCAGCGTTTAGGAGAACAGAAGGGACGTACGGCGTGCCAAGGAGGTAGGCTGATGAACCAGTCCCGCGGATGGAGTAAAGGAGGAGTAAAGGAGGAGTAATACCGAGTCAGTAATTCCTCAGTGAGCCATCCTCCAGGGAACAGGGAACCATAAGCCATGCACTTCAGAATCTAAGATGTTTTCTTTAACCTCAGAAAAGAGCACTCGACTTCCTCTTCGGGGCTAATTACAACTGATTAGTTCTTCCTAAACTAATACATATACTGTAAATACAGACATCTTTGTGTCTCGGACACAACACTCTATGGAACTACTGCAAGATCTAAACCCGTGAATCCTTACGGCCTCCTGTGATGCGTTTTGCAGAACAGCGTTGTTTGGTCAATTTTCAAATTTGTTCTGTTATTCTGACTGAATGTCCACTTTCACAATAAAGCCACAGAAAAAGAAAGAACTAACACTGTGTTTTATTAACAAACCAGCATTTATACCCTTATGCTGCCAGTCCAACTACACAGAAAGTACGAGGATCCCCAAGACAGTGCAGTGACTTAAAATGCTGTCTACAAAACCCCATACAGTCAACAAAAGCCATATAAACTTCTGGAAGCAGGGATAAATGTTTGAGAGAACTTGAATGTGGACATTAGAGAGAAATCGGTTACAGCAGGGAATCAGTGATGAAATAGAAAGGCAATTAAAAAGCACGTTCCTGGACCTGCTGCTCCCCCCCACCTTTTTTTAAATTTTTTTTTTTTTTTTACAAAATGTCTAAAATATATTATGCTTGTCTGTGTCTATTTTTCTAAAGAAGAAGAATTATTTGATATGTTAAAATACTATAATAAAGATTCCCCCCCCCCAAATTAGCCTACTCCAATGTGTTTTTTCCTTAAGATACTTAGGTTTTGCATCTAATTAAAAAACTTCAATGTGACTGTGTCCTTATGCAAAAATCCCTGTTTTCACTATTAAAAAAAATATACTTCCCATGTAAAATAGACTTTTGATACCTCTCTGAGCATTCAAATACACTGTAACATTAAACCACTGTAAATAATTTCAGGATGAGCATCATCAGTGCCAACGTGAATGGTGTCACTGGAACACCCCCTATTCCTACGGTTTGGAGCTACCCCACAGTAAGACTCTGGAAGTAGAGACGATGAACCAAGCACCATCTATGAAGTCTTAAATCTAATACTTTACTTAATAAAGTACCTAAGAATAGGGCACAAAAATTGCTTGCTAGGAAAAGAGTATGTGCTCTTTTGGAATACAAATGGCTCATTTTTAGCATTACAGTCATTGCTGTCTCTTAACTGTCTGTAAAAGCCAAGATTAACTGCTAATCTACAATGAGGGACAGGAAAATTAAATCTTGTATCAAATCCTATTTTGTGAATTGTCTAAGTTCTAAAATGCTCCAGCTTTATAAACTGAGTTTCATGTACTGTGAAAAAAATAAAAATAAACTTGAAAACAATCTTTTGCCTGTTCTCTCAATTCTGGGTGTTGTACCAAATCACGTTACTGCTGTGCACTCTGTAATGTCAGTGTGCGTTAGACACAAAACCTTCCAAAATGGACTGGCTGAAATCTGTGTTTCCAAGGGTTGGCAAACAAAGCCCGAAACTACTGAAAACGGAAAACTGGGAAAATACTGACGGATCACCATGTGTTTTGTGATGACAGAAACAATGAAGTTCTCACAGAAGAAAAATACAGAGTAGACTACTCTCAATTTCTATTTAAGAAAAAATACTGTTTGCCTTTTTTTCTTACATATATTTTTCCATTTAGTGTGTGATGTTTAAATAATAGTTTTACCAAGCTATATATATATTTGTATTGTGTGGATTTGCATTATTTGTGCCACAGTGGTGTTTACATGCCAATATGATGTGCTACATTACTATGTTAGGCACTCTAAGAATTCATGATCATCTATTTTACATTTGTCTGACAAGTATCATCACAACTTCTATTATACAACAGACTATGGGTCATTACCATAATGACCTCTCCTTCATGTTAAATATCTGCAGACTAACGAGAGAACCAAAACCTCAGGAGGTGCAACAATTTTTAAAAGACTAAACATTCAAGACTACATATTTCCTTGTATTTATTTTGTAACTGTATTTTTCTAAAACATATTAAAATAGAAAAGATGTTCATCTCATTCATCATACAAAGAAAATACCAACATAGTAATAAAATACTGAAATATATGAAAGCACCAAAACATTAAAATATTCATATTGGCAAAGACTCTAAGAATATATTTCTTGCAATTTTACAGTAAAGTGCTATTCGATCCACTCAAATTAAGGAGTTGGCATTTTAATAGCATGGTTAGTACTATCTTAAGGTTACAAATTACTTCGTTACCTTCTTCAACAAGACAACAACCCATTTAGTTGGAAGCAAAGCATTTGAGTTGCATGCACATGAAAATAACAGCTTCATAGTAACAGTGAACAATATAAGTTGCAAACTCATTAAGAAAACAAAATACTGAGCAGCAAACTGAACAGAAATGAGATTAGTGAAAAATTAAGAAAATGCAGATGTGGTAAAACACTGTATAAATTAAGAAAGGACAGAAGACTGTGCACCAAACAGTTCTGTAGACTTGCCTTTTACATGGTAATATTTTCAGTAATCATATTGCTGCTTTATTAGTTAATCTGTTTATTAATGCTTTTTCTTTAAACTGCCCTTTTCTATTTCCTAGAAATGACACTACATCTACAACACACTGGAGAGATACTGTAAGCAAAAAGACAGAAGCAGAGTATGACCTTTATCTTTCCTTAATAATCTCATCTATTGAAGTCAGCAGATAAAATTAAATAATCTGTTACAAAGCCAATTTGTAGCAAAAATTAATTCTAGTCAAGAAATTATTTTTAGACCTCATTCAGAGTGAAAATTTTAAATGTATGAAAGATACCAATCAGTCTCCTTTTAAGTGTTTATCATTTTAATATACATATTTACAGCAATGAGTACAAAGAATCCTTGTTAGCAAAGTTCTCACTAGCTTCATACACCATTTCCACAACAGTTTCTGAGAAATGGCAGATATAACACTTTTAGGTTGCCTTCAACAATATTTAATCTTCCTGACTTGACTTGCTTTTTTCATAAATTCATCTGTAATTTAAGCATATTGCACATCTCAGAATATGTTCTTACATTGACTAATTATTAGCTTTTTTATGAACCAATAATAGGTCATCAAAAGTCAACTCTCAACACTCCTTCCACAATTTAACTAAGAGTTGCTTTAAAAAAAAAAAAAAAAAAAGGAGAAGAAGAATAGGAATAGTGTCTCATTATGATATTTCATTAGTATCTTTGGAATCAAACAAGGGTTATATTCCTGGTCAATATGGCTGTGTGTTTGTCATTTGGTAGGAAATATTTACAATAACTTTGCATTCAGAAAAAGCACAAAAATAAGGAGTTTAACCAATGAAAGCAATGAGCCTGAATTACCAAAATAATTACTAATAACAAATATCTTCCTTTATATGTACATAGATTATATAAAAAAATCTGCCTGTACTACATAATTTCCATAAATTTTCCTGAATGAACAGGTTGACCTTTAGAATACACTAAGTTGACTGCTTGCACCTTCCATAAGAGTAATTCAGGATGTAAGAATGAATATGACAAAAAGAAATTAAATACTGTATTTAAAGTAGCTGAAGAGAGGGGAAAAAAAACCTAAACAGTTTTAAATTATGCTGTATTTGGTTTCGTCCTTCCAGTTCAGTAGTATTTATTGAGTTGTACAGTGAAATTAAGTCCTAGCTCTAACATCTTCCTCATGCCCTGTTCTAAGTGTGAACTCTCAGTAATTTCCTTTGCTGGTCATTCATTTCTTTTTTTTCAGCAAATTGTATCATTATTGTGGGCTCAGAAACCTTGTTTTGGCAGTTCCAGAATCCGAGTGCAGCACTGGAATCTCTTCCACTCCAACCAACCATGACAGGCAGTGCATCCAGCGCACAGCAATTCTTTTAGCTTCTCTGGGTATATGCCAGGTAGAAGCAGAAGGCAACAACAGTGACTGATAGTAATGATAAAACAACTGACAACTGCTGGAACCAGAGGCAGCGATCAATCTGCTCTTGAAGTCTTTTATTAATTTGCAGTAAACGAGTTAGCTGAAAATAGAAATAGTTTCATTAAATTAGAATTACTGCACATGAAACTACTTTTCAATTTAGAGCTATTTAGCCAGTAACTATAAGCACACATACACAAAAAAAAACCCCAAAACCCCCAAAACCCCAGACAAACTTCTCTTAGTGATCTCTTAGCAATACCTTTTCTACCACTACATACTTCAGGAATCTGTTCCACTAAAGAAGGTTCAAATCTTAAGTTATGGACAGCCCATATTGCCTGTATCAGGCAGGTGACAACTTTACACTAGGAAGCAAAAGATATCACTGAGGTTTACTGATAGCCCAGATCTGCAATATACATAAAAGGAATGAGCAAAGTGCAATGAAAGTAGTATTTTAGTAAACCATTACCATTCAACCAAATAATTAAATCACTATCACTGTTTTAATTAATTTAAATTGCCAAGATTTTCAAATAGCATAGTTTACAAAGTACCAAAGAGGTTTAGTACAAATACTTTTTATTTCTATCATATTTTATAATTTTGTTCAATATTCAGCAAAAAGGAATACACTATTACCTGTATATGTAAATCTTCATTGGTTTTTGCTGGAATATTAAATGCATTCTCTTTTAATGTCAGAGAAGAAGGCTTACTACTTTCTATGACATGACACCTGAGCCTGTGAAAGGGGAAAAAAAGCCATGCACCAAAAATCATAAATATAATGTAACATTGTATAATTAATAGTAAACAATCCATCTAACAGTTATTATATACACTTTATCACCTGTTCTGGTTAATTAGTTTTCTAAATGACTATTGCAATGATAGTCTGAAAAGGCTTCCTCAGTCCACCAATTACATTTTGACAGCTTTTGATATAGAAAGCAAGATCAAAATTATTTGCATGCTCAGTTAAAACATATCTTCATCATCGTAAATTCATAGCACAGGATGCACTGGATTATTCAGTCAAATACTTACTACCAGAGATGCAACAATTTATTGAAGAGCAAAGAAAATCTAAAGTTTTTCTTTCCATTTTAAAACTTAGCAACAACATTCTTCATAGAGTCCACCTCTTCCACAGTTGAAAATGCAGGAAAAGAATGTCAAGCCACAACTGAAGGTAGTGGAATTCTATACAATTTATAAAACACAGCAGAAGCTCCTCTAATAACATGCAAGTCAATTAGTGTGCAAATAAATTTATTTGCTAAAGAAATGGTTAAATTGAGGCTGCAGCATTTTTCTATTTTAAGAGAAATGCTAAAACCTCTCCGGCAAGACAAAAAAAAGAAATGGACAAATACGTGTAATAAAATCTAAGTAGATTCCTCAGATAAAGTTCTTGCACATATAATATTAAAGAGACAATAATTATGTTCTCTGCTATTTTTAATCTAGGTTTAATGAAAAGTAAAGGTCAGTTTTGTAATCGTCAGTAATGTACATACGTGGCACACTTTGCAGGTGATAAATTCAATGTAATCAAACAATCTCTCTCTATTGTTTCAGTCTGTCTTAAAAAAAATTGCAACATTTACACAAGGAAGCTTAAGGTCACTCACACGATGTAGATTTTGTTTAATAGGGAAGCAAGGGATAAGCATTTGAAGCAAAGCTAGAGCAAGACTTAGGCATCAAGTCTCAAAAATACTTTTTCCATGTTAACTTTGGCCATGGGGGGGGGGGGGTAAAGGCAGCTCCCCCCCTCAACACTCCCCCCTCCCCCAATCTAAAGTAAAAATACAGTCAAATTACTTTTTCTTAAAGATGAAACCTAGTGGTATTTTTTCACCATTAAATATGGAAAACACACATATGAACATGTGATAGGTTTTACAGAAATTTTCTACAAAATTCTGATTTTCCCTAGCAGAAAAGGAATATTTTTTAATATTGTCTAGAAAAGAGTTTTGGATTTGATATGTCTTCTTTCCTTGCTTGTTTCTTTTTAGAAAACTCAAGTAGCACATTCTTATTAAACAAAAAAATAAAAAATCTACTGTCCATGTGTATTGTCACATCCATTCACACTTTTTCTGCTTAACTCTTTAATCAGCACAAGAACAACAATAAAGAGAAGAGCATGTGCAGAATACCATGACATTTTATGCATTAGAAACACCTCTAATCAGTTAAAACAGAGCAGAAGCCTTAGCAATATACTTCAGTCAGTAAGCACACAACTGGGTTTTGAGAATCCTTCACTAATTATGATATGCAAGTGCTATAAATCAGCTAAATAATAATGGCTAAAAAAAAATCCCTGTCAACAGAAAACAATATGCTCACCTGTGTTCCATCACTTTGGTCCTAGGGACTTCTTTCCAAAACTGAGTCAGTTCTGGTACACCTGCTCCAGAAGACTGGTCCATTTCTGCTGCCATTATAAGGAAACGATCCTGCAGAGAAGCTGCGAAACCTGCCCTCAAAGAAAAAAAAAAAGCAAAAGTGTGCTTAGATAAGATGACAATATTACAAAGTGTATAGAATAATTTTTGAACAAAAGTGTTTTAAAATGAGAGCTTGTTTATTGCAGGACATCAGACACTGACTCACTAGAAAGAAAAATAATGAAATCATTCTCTTAAGCTCAACAATTTTGATGACAGTTTTCCCAAAATTCTACAGTTTCATTTTAACAGAACTAGTTTTGTCCGAATGATTCAAGGACAACTCAGAATTTTGTAAATAGAACACAAGTGAGATGGCTGCCACTGTGACTTTTTTTTTTAAGACTATAAACAGAATGGGCTACAGACAACAGCTACTTATGCCTAAGAGGAGTAGTAAATCAGTAAGGGAAGTTACTCAAATACTGTCTGACATGCATGTTTTTTTACAAATAGTAAGACTCTCATAAAACAATCAAGGAGACATGGGCATCAGTCAGTCTTACACCCCAGCAAGCACATACAAAGGTTAGTATCTAGAGCATCAGCCTTTTAATAAAACTTGTCCAGACTTCTTAAAAATCCTACTGTAAGATTCTACTTACCACCATGAAGAGAGACTATTATATCCAGTGACGTGCCAGGTTCACAGCTGCTGTTACTGGGTTTAACTCTGTATTTTTCAGGAGCAGTTGTTCTCACCTATAAACAAGAAATACCAAGCAAGCATATAGTCAATGCATGCACAAACTATGATTGTTTCATAACCTCCCTCATTCTGCAATAACTAAAATTCCCAAAAGCTTAAATATGAAGGCATTATAATACCTACAGTCTTTAAAATACTTTATTTTGTAGGAGTAATCAGACAGTGGTATTTCACTTTTTACTCTCTCAACCACTTCTATCCTTTCTTTTCTAGCATATACTGTTTTTCTCTCTTATATACATACTTAAAAAGAGCCAAGAATATCAAACAGACTACCTGTTAACATTTTTAACATGGACATATGGAAACTTTAGTGATTTATGTGTGCAGAGAACACAAAAGATGTGGTAGAAAACCAAATCAAGATGCAAGTCAACTCAGCATTTCTGAAGCAAACGTAACTGCATTCATTCCTTTAACGGTAACATTTGCAGATAGAGCTCCACCATTTTGGAGCATTACTAACTTGTTCCCCGCCAAGATTTAAAAAAGAGAAAAATTCTAAAAAGGTGACTATTCAGTGCTCAAGCTTTTCTTTTTCAGGAACTATTAGCCTCTCACTAAAGAATGAACCATCATCATAGCTCTTTTTCAGTTAAGTACTCCAGAAATTTGTATTACTCATTATCTCCTTTGGGGTGGTACACAACAGGCATAAATTCAGCCAGAAGATTTCTTTGATCTGCTTCAAACATCACAACAGAATAAAAATTTAGACTGAAAAGTGGGTTTAATAGTATTTTTTCCTCCTTACCCAAAACAAGAAAATGTTAAACATTTAGTAAACCAGGTCACTTGTGAAATACTTACCTTAAAAGCTACTACGTTTTTAGTGACGTTTGTGAGAACTATCAAACATTTTTTCTCTCCAGTTTCTTTGGATCCAAAATATAGCTCTTCTGCTGGGCTAATAAGAAATTTAAGAAGAATTAGTTTCTTCAAATTATCTTTACAACATATCATAGAAAAAAACTCACCACACTTATAAGAAAATAAAATACTTTCAACCCTGCAGCTGCAGTCACTATAAACAGTTTTTCATCAAAAAAAGCTGTGAAAACTAAATGCAGAAATTTTGTAGTGAAGCTGGAGGTTGACTCATGACCACAAGTGGACCTAGCTGCCTCAGCTGACTACTGCCCTTGGCTTCTTCCATCTGGAAGAGCATGACCATCTGCAACAGCAGGAATAGCTAACAGATATATACAGTCACTTGAGCCACTACATCTTAGAGCAGTATGTTAAGGCAAAGCATCGTTAATTTTAATTCATGCTAATATTAAAGAGTATAAGGTGTTACAGACAGGGAGTAATTTCCACCTCATATATCTATCCTTGTAATGGGTATAGTGCACACAGAAGAGGAGCAGGCAGTTATCTGCAAGTGGCAATCATTTCAACCACTACAGCTAAATTCACTTGTACTTATGAGTCAGTCTTCACGTACTTCTGGTGACGCATGCATAAATAAATGTATTGCTTGTTTTTAATATTCTTGTGTGATTAGGAGAATCATGCATGGAATTTTTAAAATCATATCAAACTAACACAACTCATTTTGGAACTGGAATAAGCATTCAAATGAACACTACTAGGCAAAAAGTAGGGCATGCTCATATACTCTTAAGTTGAGAGGAAGCTCAAGTACCAAGTGAAAAACTGTTTCCTTTCAATATGTCACATTAGGAGTACACAAAAAACTGCCATATTATGCAGTACTACAGAACTGCACATTCTTTTCACGTTATGGTTTTTTTTTTCCCCCTTCTCCCCTTTTTAGAATGCCAATTTCATGTTAGTTTGATCTCCTCCTCAAAAGACCTCCTTTTACAGTACCAATCCTTTCTTCTCTCTTAAAACAAACCAGTGTATCAGCTGAGAAGAAATATCCTTGGTGCTGGAGGGCAAGCCTGAACACCCATGCTAGAAGCAGAGTCCAATGGTGACTGCGTGTGTCGGGGAGTGCCTATGTTTTACAGTGCATTAGACGGTCCACATGACAAGATTTTTTTTCTTCTTTTTGGTGGGGAAGAAGGAAGCGTGCTGAGTGAAGCAGAAAGCAAGAAACTGATGGATTTAAAACAGATTAAGAGGGTAACTATATCCCCTTCTCCTCCCAGGTTTTTTTTGTTCCCAGAATCTTAAGTGAAGCAATGAACAACAGTAGGGAAAGGAAGAAGTGTAGTTACAAAGTAGTTTGGTTATCTTAATACTGTACTATTGCAGCTGTGTGTTACAGCAGTTGCAGGATGAACCATAAATGAGACAGGAAAGCATTAGCTAGCACCAAAACAAGCCACAAAAAGAGCTCAAGGAAAGAAACATTCCACCACCAACTGTGGCTAAAGAAAAAGGGGCTTGAGGGCCACTGCTGTGTGCCTGTTCTCTGTGAACTCAACCAGCCGCATAGCACTGGGGGTGGCGGGGTGTAGTTGTTGGGGGAGCTGGGTGTTTGGTTTTAAATGAATACCCAAGCTTTTTAATTTTTACAGAAACACTACTTTCTTTACACTGATATGTGGGGTAACCATTTCAGCTTGTACTAGAAATTCTCGCCTCAAAATACACTGCAAATGCCAGACAGTGCAAGTAAACTGCTGCTTTTTGCCTTACCAAATAAATTCATTTATTGGGGAGGAAGGTCAATAAAGACCAGTCTTTCACAGTAAGGCATGCAAGGCAATGCAACAGTAGTCTAAACCAGAGCCAGATGACTAGTGAGTATGACTACAACCATGAGAAACAGAAGAGCACAAGTACCCAGCTTGGGTCATACACTGGAGCCAGCAAGTACTAAGCCGTGACAGGTAAGGAACAGCCCTGCCGCAGCAAGTCTCCTGCGGCAGCAGTTTGAGGCACGGAAAGGCTGCCCGCTCTCAGCAACGTCACCGAGCCAGAGCTGATGTGCCTCAGCTTCACGGGCAGGCTGGGGCAGGCTCCCTTCACAGGACAACACTGGTATCAGCAAGGACACGAGCTAATTACACTGGCAGAGCTTCTCGCCTCGGAGTTAGGTGCCTGGGACTAGCTAGAAGTGGCACTCTATATCATCAATTCAATAAATTTCAGTTCAGTGTCTTGAGAAAGATTCCAGGGAAATAAAAACTAGTTCTAGCTTCTACAAGAGTTAGAGTATTAGTAAAGAGCAACAACCCCATATACTCTCAAGATTTTACTTAAAAAAAAAAAAACCCAAACAAACAGCAAGGACAAGAGAGACACCAGTATTTTATTGGCCATGACAGCAAGACTACAAGTATTAGCACCTCTGTACTTGAAGTTTACTCTTTCATGTAATCTACATGAACTCCAACACTTCCTAGTCCAATGGTAGAACTTGAAATGTTTTAAGAGAAGAAAGGTACAGTTTGTGTCAGGGTTAAAGTGTTGGGTTTTTTTTGTTGATAGGGTTGTGTTGGTTGGTTGCAGTTTCATTGTGAGTGCTTTGGTTTTTGGTTTTGTTTTTTTTTTTTAAAGTAGATGGAAGAACATAGCTGCTTTTATCACAGGGACAGAAAATTTTAAACATTCTTTTAAAATCACAGTTCTGCAGTCTATGCCTTTGCCCTGCTATACAAGAACCTAAGTCTATACAGAGGAGGTTTTTGCACAAAGGACTATAAAGATAATTTTCAGTGCAAAACCAGGAAGATTTGACACATACAAAATATTTTTATGCTAATGAGCATGTCATTATTCAAATTCATTCCAAAACTAATTCAGTACAGCACTTACAATTAGCTAAGGAATTACCTATAAATTAGATATTTTCTTCATTCATCTAATAGCAAACTGGAAGCGAAAATAAAAGTTAACATCTAAATCAATTTCTAAACAAGTATCTTAAGCTGAAAGGTAGTGAAAAGAAAGAGTGATATTGGCCAACTGATTTTTTTTCCTAGTTTAGTGATAAAAAGCAAATCAGCTGCAAGATGCAAGCATCTTGGATGACAATCTTCTCAACAGATACACCATTTATACAGAGCACTTCCCACACAAAATAAATTGGACCCATTCATTAAGTTTAACTGGTGCAAACTACTAGTGTAAGCATTTACACCATCTTAAGTTCTTTAAGCAAGATTTAACAGTGCAAGCTGTCTTAGTAAATGCATTGTTTTTTCTTAAGCCAATGCAATCAATGTCAAACCATGCTCTCATTACAGATAAGCACAGGTTTAACTAAATCCAATGACAGACAGTTTCTCAACATAAATGAAATCATGAAATGCTTGTAATTAGATGTACATTTCATAGAATTATAGTACAAAAAGCATGCCAATGTTGACACCAAAAGATTCACTAAAAACATGTAAAACCAGAAAAATTGAGCTTTGTAAAAATCATTCTTAAAAGGATGTTTATAACTTGTTTTCCTCTAATAGTCTGAAAAAATAGTTTATTTTGAAAGCTAGCTAGTTCAGTACTCAAGTGTCCAAGGCACATTGTAAAAAAAAGGTAAGGAAAATTATTATTACCTGATATGTAATAAAGGTCCTTTAAAAGTGGTTAATGCTTTCTTTGCATTTTTTGGTTTGATCTCTGTTTTGTCAGTTTCCTCTGATTTGGAAATTTGTTCTATAGAATTCATCTGAGTAAAAATGATAGTTATAATGATTAACTAGAAGCCTGGGTTACACATTACAGAATCATGCAGGTATTTCAAAGAATGAGGAGGCTTATTTCAACAATTTATATATTACAGACCAAGCTTAATATGTATTAATTTCTTGAAGCTGCTTGAAGCCCATTGAATAAAATGATTTGTTATATAAGTTACATAATGTATTAAATGTGCATGAAACAAAACTTCTGCTTTGTTTCTTCCATGCATTTTCCTGATACCCAAGTTCATTATTTTTGAAAACTCCAGACACATTAAGTTATAGTACTTCAAATATTTAAGATTATAAAGCACTGATGCTGTTCTTGCACTGCAAAACTTTTCAATTAAAACAGACACCCCAGTACAATCACTACAACACTGAACAGAAAAGACAGTAACAATTCCACACTTTATTGTATTACAGAGTTGCTAAACATGTCTTCACTGCTTTTAGATGGAACTCTGAAGTATTGGAGAGCTCAAAAGAAGTAATGCTGATTGAATTGGTGCATCCAAAACTGCAGATATCTTAGGTTCTGAGGGTCTTCCTCTATTATATTAATAAAATACATGTTAGCAGGCCTGGACATCTTATTGTAAAAAATGAAAGAACTCTGGAATTACGTGCAAAATGGAGTGGGGAGGGGGACACAAAAGACTGAAAGAATTAGTGACATCATGACTCGAGATCAGCTAGCTGAACAGTTTGCTTAGCCTTGTTTTTATTCCACTGAAAATACAGAGAAAAGACATGAAGAGAATTCAATTTATGTAAGTTTGAAGTATGGGAATGAAAGGAATACAAAATTTTATAGAAAATAGGTTTATAAAAAGGAAACCACAGAGGAATTTTTTTATATAATTACAGTTATAGTAAAAGGTTAGTGTGTAAATACACTGCACTAGTTATGTGTTGGGCTTTATTCTACATAAATCTCATTAAAATTTCCATAGAAAACAGTACTATAGCGTACATTAAAGGTGGAGGCATCTACCTTTACTAACCAAGTTTATCACTCATGGCTACCTCTACTCTGTGAAAAGAAACAGGCCCTTCTATGGGATAAGAGGCAGCATACATATATAAAATAAGTCAGATTCATTCTTTGTGATGACAAGAATCTACATATAAAGACTTGCAGTGCAGTAAATGAAGACAACGATAATCTCACAGATCACTTGAAATCTATTAGCTTGGAAGCTGGCCTTATTAAAAAAATAGTTGAATATATATTTAGACACAGTCAAGTAAAAATAATTAACTTGGCAATAAGAAATGCCAACCATTCTGAGACAATAAGGGAGTATTTCTGAAAACCACATTTTGGTAAAGAACATAACATTGATGTGACAAACAATGGTCTACTTGCTGTGGAAGAAATGGCAAGTATTATTCTTAATTATGTGAACAGAAGAATAGTGAGTTAGATCATTGTTTTGCTTTACTTTTTACAGAAACAGTACCAACAACAATGAAATATAGTCTGAAATTTTAAAAGTACATTGACGGTAAGGCCTTAAACATGCCTTAAGATTGATACATGATGAGCCTAAATGTCAATCTTAGTTCATTGAAAAGATTGAATAGTAGCTTGATTACGCTGTATAAAAGAGAAAATACCACAAACCAAATCATTATTTCTAAGAGTAAAAAAAGTAATAAAATAAGATAGCTTACATAGAAAGCTAGATCAGTCAAGCAAATTAAAACCAAACACACACTGTATTAAGCACCAAAGCCAACTCACACATTGAACAGGAATTCTCCATGTTTCCATATCTGAAAATCAGAGCTTAGAAGATGTGCTACAACCAAAACAAGCTACTGAGTCTAATGGTCAGGAAGTCACCATGGTTTTGTAATGCTTCCTTTTGACCTTAAAGTCAGTGAAATTATCTTTTTTTGAACAGCTGGCCAAGTTGCAAAGAACAGCTGGACTAAAGTGAGCTGTGTGTTTCAACTTATTCTGACAAAAAACTTAAAACAAGTAAAAGAAACTGTAAGTGTAATATTACAAGTATTCTATTCCATTAAACAGAAATTTTGCAATTTATATTCCAAAATTAATTATGGCACTAAGGTGGTGAATTTCAGATTTTCCCTACTATTTTCAGGAGCAAATCCCCACTGACTATCATTGCATATTCCTAAATATCACTTCATATGGACTTGGGTAAAACAATGCCTTTCTATTTCTGGATAAACACCACTGCAGGAAGATTATATTGTAAAACAAAATTGATGGATTAGGGATACAACTTCTCCTGAGACTAAATGAAAACTTTTATATGTTGAGATTTTACAAGTAATTTAAGAAAACAAATTAACATCCAGTAAGGTATAAATCTTTAACTGTTAATATTTTCTCATGTACATACTGACTTAAGCATCTGAGAAAACTAGATTTACTTAAGATGTACACCACTAGATATCCCAAGGTTAAAAATAAACCAACTAGAAAGACAACCTTTGAAAACAAAAGACAGAAACCTTTTAAATTTTACTGTACAATTCACTATATTCCAGAGCAAGGTTGGAACTAAGTGTAATTTTCAGTTTTACTGGGTTCTTTTGTCAAACTGGAGGGCAGAAAAATATGTTAAAAATAACCAACACACAAAGTAGAAGCCAGACAAGAAACAAGAGTTATATGCCTCCTGTCCCACTTTGTAAGCATTTAACTAGTCTTGCCTCAACCTTCAGAGTTAGATACCTTTTTCTGATTAAGATTTTGTTCTTCATTCAGCTCCCCAGACTCCTTGGTGTCCGCATCTATCTCTTCTTTACTTTCATGCTCATCTTCACTAGTAATGGGCCCATTTTCACATAAAGGAGTTTGAAAATCATCATCAACCAATGGAGGATAACTGTACTTGAAAGAATCCTAAAACATAAGGAGATTTTTAAAGGACCAGTTATTTAAGAGGATGAGAAGTACCTTCTCTTTTTTTTTTTAATGGAAATACTATCAATTTTTTTTTCTACAACTTGTATTCATCCATTTTAAGTTGGACCCCTGTGCAGAAAGCTGACACTACCAATAGTTTTTATTTTATCATCATTAATAGACAGATAAATACAGTCACCCAATGAAGCCAATAAATTTTAACTACTGTTACTTATAGTCACAGTAGAATTGCAGAATCTGGTCTATTGAGGATCAGCATTCAGTATTAATGCTGAAGTTTTGTTCTTAGCTCTAGGAAACATGGTTTAAAACCTATGACAGCTATTTCTAATGTTCCAAAAGTGATGAAAAACTTTTTTCTATTTTAGTTTCATAATAGCCACAGTTAAAAAATTAGAAAAAAACCCACAAAAAACAAAACCATGAAACAACCCCCCAAAATCCCTCAAGTTTAACCTAGAGTATGGACCTTTAACATATCCTGCAAGTCAGACCTCAGTCTTTGGAATGCCAAATCAATCTAAGGACCATATTCAAGATACCTGAGTAACGTAGAAGCAGCATACTTAAGTTCTTGAAGCCTCTACAGTGAGAGTGTGTTTAAACAGGGATCTCTGTTCCTACTGCATTTTCAAACAGTTTTAAACCCCAGGTAAACTGAATTAGTCTGTCAGCTTTTCCAGCAGAAGAAAATAACATAGCTTTGACTTCTGTGAGGCAGACTAGAGCTATGCCCACAGTTCCCAAACTATGCTACCAGCAAGGAGTTAAAAAAAAAAAAAAAAGGTGTTGCAAGAGAGCTCTCCAGAAGCAAGTACATTTTCTCAAAACAAAGAATAATGTGATGTTAAGAAAAAAGGAAAAAACTTAAATGAGGCCATTCCAAGAAACCCCAAACAAAATAGCATATTTCCTGCTAATCTATAATCAAGGCCTAAATCTCTACTGTTCTTCAGGCTGAAACAACAGTCACAGATCTTTAGGTGACTGAAACAGGTATCCACTGGCTCAAGCAATATCCTAATAAGGACCTAAAGGACAAGCTTTAAATATCAGTAACAGACTGATTCACTATTAGAAGAGACTCCAGACTGTTAGAAACATTACAGTAGGCTTGCAGAATATTGACATCCTCCATTTGCAAATACAAGGCAGAAATAGCCAGGTTACCCTCAGCCAAACTGATAAGCCTTTTCACTCCCTTCCAGCATATGATGAAGAGCATATAGCAAAGTAACCTTAATAAAGAGATCTTAATTTTGCTGCACATTTCACTTGACCATGTTAATCCACAATGCTAGACAGCATCTCATCATTGGGACAACTCAAAGTCCCAGGCTTCCCAATCACAGCCCATAAGTTTCAGTGGCATGGGTTTATCTACTAACAGGGTAAAAACCTCAGAGAGGTAAGCAAGACTGGATGTATCAAGCATTGAATAAATCTTTCTATAGACTAATGGCTTTCTTTTATAGCAGATGTAGAGACTTTAGACTACTATGTTTGGCAATTGTGGTAGAGATACCTTAATCACAGTAATGGTATTTTCTAAGATTACATGTACACAGTGGCCATGAAATCACAAGCAAAATGCCTCGTGAGGTCTTAACTTCATGCTGCTGACCTATAAAAGGTACTTCCAAGAAAACAAGCTATGCGCTATCAATTCAGATACCTAGGTGAAGAACACAGCATTCTAGTTGCACACACTGTTCAATATTGGCACCAGTGGAGGTAATCTTGGGCAATTCATCCTTGTCAAATCCATCTCTGACAAAGGAAAACTGGGCAAATACAGAAACTAAAACCCTACTGTATGTACATGTGTTGCATCAATGTGTATGTTGTATGTACATTAGTTTTGCACAAAATGTTATTGAAGGGGCAACAAATCTTCCTGGCCAGTCAGAACCATGTACGCCTTAAGACTTGGACTGCTCCACCATCAGTATCAACAGCTGGAAATGGTAGAATGTGGGATACAACAGATTGGGAATCCAGGAAAACACCAACTTAGTATACATTTATTACTAAATGAAAACAATTAGTAAGTGGCTTTTGAGCACCTAACCCTAATTTTCCAGGCTACTTATTAGCTTGCTCCTAGATCTGTTTTAGGCAATTCTGACAAGTTCTCCGAGACAAACCTGCTATAAAGAGAGGGACTTCTGTGCACTGTAGACAAGAACAACTCAGATCCAGGTACACAGTGTGTAGCCCCTCTTGATTAGCAGTATGGCAATAGCCACAGCCAACAGACACTCATCAGGACTTGAATGGAAAGTCCTGCAAAATCCGAGTTTGTTTTTCTTAATTAGTTTTAATGCTTATACTCTGGAGACACCTTTGTCCACTAGTTGTCTAACATCAAGCAAGTAACTTTCCTCCTTTCTCAGCTGGCTGACAGTTGATTGAAGGATTTTCATGCTAAGAAAAGCATCAGATTCATCCTTTGCATGACAGAGTGGAAACAAAACATACTTAAAGATAACTTGACAGATATTGAAGCTTGAAGGCTTCTGATGGAGACACAGAACAGTTCCTTTGATTCAGCAAAACAATCATTGACTCCAAGTTCAACATTCTTAATTCTATTTCCAAAATGGATTTTTTTTTGTTAATTCCAAAACTAGTCTCTAACTTTGTTCTCGGATACCTAGATTCCACTGCACTTACATTTTCTGTATCTCCCCAAAGTAACCAGCCAAATGACCTGCTCCACTAGGTGTTTACATCTGGCAAGCCCTGGCTCTTCCAAGATGCACACTAGTAGGGGACACAGCAGAAAGAGGATGAAAGTCTACTTATGGCTACTGTATTAAGTATGAAGGACAAACAGATATGCTGTGCTCTTCACCTGCTTTATGCTAGTTGCAAATATGATGATCTGTTCCTAAATGTGTAGAAATCAAAAACAAGGGATCGGAAGGAGACAAAAAAACCCCAAACCAAACAAACACTTGACTGGAAAATGGAGGGAATTAATTTATGCAAGTCAGATACTGCCTTAAAAAAACAGGGCTAACAACACTAATACTGATGAATGTACTCTATCTAGTTGCCTCAAGAGGAGCCAAGGTTAACTACCTTAAGAAAAGCTAAATTCTGAGAAAAGGTCAGTAAGTTGTCTGTCTTCTGGTCACTGAAGAACTCCTTGCTGTCAGAGAGATGCAAAAATCCTCCTTTCTGTATGCACTGAAGAAATCTTTGGAAGGAAGATCCAGAGCACAATTTTGGAGTCTGAATATTTGCTAACAATGCTTCCAGATGACAGTTCTGAGGTTAAAAGTTCAAAACACCTATCAAGTGGCTAAATACCAAAGACTCAGTAGTTAGACAAAACATCTGCTGGTTCAAAATACCGGGCTTTTAATATGTAAAGATATAGCTTCTTTTCCAAAATTGTCAAAACCCCTGGAGTCCTTTTCAAGCAAGTTTACTCCCGTTCTACTAATTTATTTCTGTCACTGCAACTTACTACCACAGACAAGTGGTTTGGATAAGCTGCCTCCATGATTCTGGAACTTGTTAACGGTCTTAGAAGATGGGCAACATGAAGCCAGCTTTGTCAATAACCACTAACTGCCAATGAGACCTTTCAGGACCAAGGCAGGATAAAAGATAACTCTAAGATTGTATGCTCAACCAGATACTTCAGGAGCATATTTAGCAAAGTCACAAGTTCTTTCTTTAAAGATATAATTAGCTATCGGTTAAGATGGTCTAAAAAGCAGAGAGGAGATACTCAGCTCTGAGGAAGAAAAGAATTTTCCCCCTCTATTGGAATAATAGAACAACACCATGGGAACTAGGCTCAGAACCACTGCTATACCCTGTTCAAATCCTTACTGAAGCCACTTCAGACATCATCAGCCCTCCCCTCAATGAAGTTCAGCAATTTCAGCTTTCTTGAACATGAGAAATTTCTTACATGATACTGGAGAGTTTGGGAAGCAGTTTTCCATGGAGAAAGAGAGTATCTTTTCTTCAAGAGTCTTGTGCAAAAGCAGTTTTTAAAGGCTGCTACTTTCAGCCAAATAAAAACCAAGGTAACCTAGTCTTTTATGTTCCCAAAACAAATTTCATATGTTCTGGCTACCAGAAATCTACTTTGAGTTTGTATATAAAGGAACATGGCTTCTCCTACTAATGCTGAAACGGAGTCTTCCTTTTCTCCATATTGTTACTGCCATAACTCCAAAAACAGGAAAAAAAAGGAAAATAAGTAAAAATAACTCTTCTGCAGTGGGCTTATTCCACTACCACAAGTGGTCTACAAAAACTTTAAAGAAAAAACATCCTCTTTCTGCAAATTCTATTATAAAGATTATGCAAACTTATTTACTAGCTTTGTGAAAAGTGAAACCTGTTGTACAAGATGCTTGTGCTGTTTCGCTGTTTAGATTGCACTAGAATAGGATCCAGGCTCTGTTAAGTGATACTGGATTGTAGCATATTCTTTGGAGCATTAATATACTCTCAAAAAAGAATCTTCTACAGCCATGTCTTAAAATGCAGCCCTAAAGACAACAAAGAAAAAATAATTGCAGTATGATTGTCTTTACTGAATCATAAGCTTTGGAGCAGGATGAAAACTCTGAGCCATAAACCCTATTTTCTGTCCACAGAACTTGTTTCATAAACCAACACATAATCTCTAATTCATTATGTGGGAGGGAAAAAGAGTAGAAGGAAGAATGACACTTAAAATGGATTTTTATTTTTTAAGGTCTGAAAAACTAAGTGGTATCCAATGACTTGAAAGTGGATGAATGATTCAGAAAAGTTATTTCTGTACTGAAGACTGCCAGATAGCAAATTCTTATGAAGTTAACCTATTTTTTATTAATGTGATTTACAAATTATCATTGGCAGAACAATTTCACATCCATGAAGTGCCAACTCTCAACCCCACATGTGTAATTTACACAGGCATGTCTCAATCTATCACAAAAGGACCATGAAATGTTAATATACTTACTGTTCCACCCATGTGAGGTGGCAGATACTCTCCACTGATGTATTCCTGTACATCACTCTTGTTAGTGAACTTTAACATGCTTATTGCATCTGGGCCAAGCCAACCCTTCACAATTTTAAAAGCAGCTTAAAAAAAAAAAAAAAAAAGGGGGATACGTAAGTTGTCAGGAAGGGTTTTTTTGCAGTGTACTGGTAGACCTTATAGAACACAAGTGAGCTACATCCCATAAGATATGGCAGGACCTGCTCTGAAAATATCTATTATAATGGGAATAAACAGTCCAAGGAAAAGATTATTTACAGTGAAAATATTTTATGGACAAATACTTTTCTACAGAAGAATGCAGACAGACCACAGACTTTCATGGAAACAGTATCTTTGATTTAATAAATGACAACTTTATTGTCTTGGATTTTAGCCCAGGAAGTACTGAGGGGTAAAACCAATTGTATTCCCAAATCTGAGTGAGGGACATTGGGAAAGATATGTATACACTCTTCCCAGTTGAAATGTTTTGCTGCTTTAAAGGACACTTGTTTAGATTTACAGAGTATTTTCAAAAAACATAGTTATTTCAGTGAAGGTAAAACATGAATATACAGAAAAATCTAAAGCCAGCATAAAAATATGTATTCATATGGTAAAAATACAAGAACAACATGTGTATCCTGTACATTATAATTAAAGGTAGTTATTGAAGTACACACATCAAAACATATGTAACAATATCAGTGTCCAGTGTCAGGTATCCATCTTAAATTGTGTATTCTAGTTTTTGGCTGGTTTTAAGTGTCCATCAATTGTTGATGATAGTATTCCTAAATCATGAACAGATCTAGCTTTGAAAGGATTACAGTTGGAAACATTTAAGTAATAGACTATTTATCAAGGTCTCCCAACCTTTAAAGATAACAGGATGAATACAGACTGCATTTAAAGTATGATCCAAAATGCAATGCTAGAAGGAAAAACAAAAAGTATGCAACCTACAAATTGACAGATGTCAAGATGCATGTTTAACAAATTCCACCATCCAGCTGTATCTACACAGAGCAGAAAAATGCTTCCTATCTACGCTACTAATTTTAGAAAGTTATCACAATCAAAAAAACCCCAATAAAAACCCAAACAACTCACCATTCATTATCCATGGCATTTCAAAGATCACTATCTTTGCTGAAAAGACAAAAAGAAAAGGAAATAATGTGAACACCAAGTATTTCTCTCTTTAAGAGGAAGCACAGCAATAATGGTCATGTAAAAAGTGAATACTCATTTTTAGAAACCTCCATGTTCACTTCTCTGTGGAAGCAATTTTGTATAATTGTTTTTAACATGTATAAACCTATTTCTATTACTATATAAAAACATTAGCTGTTTGCTTGGAAAACAAGTTATACACTGTTTATATACTTCTCTGGGGTACTACTTTTCTGACATACTGTTACTAATAAGTAATCTCCCCAAATAAGGCAGAGAAAGTAAGACCTCAGCCTGACCTAGAAAAGCAGCTATTGAATGGAAAAGGAAGTTCAACAGTTATATTCAGCACCTCTTCTTCCCAAACAAATAGTAAAAGTCTTGGTAAATCGACATTTTCTCCCAAGCTTTCTTTCTTTTAGCAGAGAAGTCTGAAAAGTTAGTACTTTGACTCAGAAGTGTCCCAAAATTTCTGTTGAATGTCAAAAAACCCAAAAACATAATGTTGCACTTGCCTTTAAGTTTGATATTTGATCAAAGTTCAAAACTTTGATCAGCAAGCTGAAACGTAATATTCAGAGTTTAAGCAGTTGCTGTACAGAATTTCAATATATTTTCACCTAAAATTTATAACTTAAATAAAATGACCTAGCAAAAACTATTCTGTGTTTGCCTATCCATAAAAAAAATTAGCAGACAAGTATGCAGGTTTTTCCAAGTGTGCACACAAACATGCCTTATTCTTGTTTAGAGTAAACCACTGCTCCCTAAGATTTTCTATAGCCATTCATTCTTTGTCCCCTGAAGACTCCTAAAGGATGCAAACTACCATGCAAGTTTGCAAAGGTTCTATCCAAGTAACAAGGAGCAAAGGAAAAAACAGGCCAATTAAGTTCTACTGAAAGCTTATATCAATTTTTAATCTGTAAAAACATTTCTTAAATTATTATTTCCTGAAAAGCCAGTTGATTTTTGATGAATGTAAAGTTTATTTACAATACAAAGTTGTGCTGACATATGAGCACAAAAATATTCTGAATCTGTAACGCCCATGTGTTCCATGTAGATACCACAAAGCGCACACAAACAGACTTAAGTCTCCCACATCATCTGTAATATTATGAAATGCTCTTATTACATAAATCTACAGTGCTTAAGATTTAATATACAATACTTACTGAGGAAGTTTGGGTAGTAATCTGTAAAACAGTTGACAATAAACCGAACAAAATCCAAGTCCTAAAATAAAAGCACAGAAAAAACTCAACATAAATCAAAACATTAAAAATACAGGCTTAGTTAAGCTATATTCAAGTTTTACACATACTACAAACATCATCCAAACTGAATGCAATGCTTTTCACTTCATTAAATTGCTGCAGGATTGTGGCCAAACTAAGCTTCATGGTCTAAGAAGGAAGTCAACAGACCTATTATCAATGCAGTAAATCAAGTATCTAAACTACTGCAGAGTATTAACAGGATTTAAGCTGTACAGGAAAGATACAGGAAAAATAAACCTTTAACACTAGAGAAACTTGACAGATTATCTTAAAGCCTTACAAGGGAGAGCACTAAACCTACTGAAATTTCCCTTCGTTAACTTACCTTGCATATTTTTCAATATACTACTGCATTAGGATCTTCCAAAGGGAAAAAATAGGTTTTCTTTTAAGAGAATTTTTGGTTTCAGTATTAGCTTGTGGTATGCAGAGAAATCGTAGACAGAGGCAGCACTCAAAAAAGCTGCTTGTATAGCACCCATTTTCAGGGTGCTTCCATCCAATGAGCAGCTGCACAGAAATAGTACAGCCAAGTCTCATTGCAAAATCCAGGTATAACAGAACTGACTACACAGTAAAGGGCAAAAAAAGTCATTTTATGAAACAGGTATAGATAATGAAGTGAGACATACCTTACCACAATAAGGTACTTCAGTTAGGTGGGAAGCCTGCCATGAGTACTCATACTTTCCCCAGTCCTAACAGAAGTGACCACTACTACTACTTTCAGAAACAGTACAAAATATATTGCTAATGGAGGATCCAAAGCCCATCGTAACAGTAAAAAAGCTATGGGGAATGGCCTCTGAGAATGATGTAAACATGCTATTACAACATTTGCCAAAGAAAAAAAAAAATCAACACCCTGCGTAAAAGGACTACCCACAACCCGAAACCTTTATTAGTAGGTTCAGTAACTAGAAACTAACTGAAAGCTTGGTATCTTTAGAGGCAGAAGGTAGCCTTTAATAGAAGCATTTCTCAAATGGCTGTTGCTTGTACCAAATGCAGTACCTTTCTTTTAATAGCATAAACAGTGATAGATTTCCAAGCAATGATTAGAATCTCCAGTGCATTAACAAGGATGCTACTCTCTATTCCGCTGCCTATCCAAAAGCAGCTCTGTCAGATATTAGGAGGATGGATCCATTATTTTGCTGAAAGCCTGGAATTAGAAGTATAAATTTCAGCAAACCATTCAATAACTGCACCTATTCTAGTTACCTGAACTGGTGCGACAAGGCATGAGCTATCAGAATTACCTGGCTGCATATCAGTGAAAAGCTGACATAGTAGATGTCCATAGCAATGGAACAAACAAATGAAGCATGCTCTGGAAGAGAACTCGGAAATCAAAGTTCTTTCAGGATAAAATTTATCAGTTTCTCTACATGGCTACAAACAGCCATTAAAAAAATATTCCTTTCTGTGATAAGTGTACTAACTACAAAGCAAGACTGTACAATGGGACACTTATAGACAGCACTTGCTGAGACTGTGTCTCTGGGAGTCTCAAAGACACCAGAAAGAAGTTGCTTCAGGATATGCTCCACAAAACCAAAATCAAGTTGCTTTTTCACATCAAGGAAATTACTACAATCCTTTATTCTTGTTACATAAAACCATGGCTCTAGTATTATCTTTAGGAGTATGGATAGACAGCCCTCAAGGCACAGATAAGAGCACCAATCCTGTCTTGCAAAACTGAATTACACCGTATTTATTTGTCAAAATATCTTAAAAGCTTGTGGCACTGTACTGCACAGCTGCAAGGTCACAATGCAACATGAACCATTTTGCCTGGAAAAGGTAGAAAGAAAGCTTTTTCTTTTCGTTTATATTTAAATACCAACAAAAAAAGAATGAACAAGATACAAGTTTTAGCCATTCCTGTAAAAATAACAGGACAGCATGGCATTTGGGAAGAAAAAATTCAATATTCTATAGATACAAGATGATTTTTTTTAACCTATAGATAATCTATGAGATTCTTAGTTATCAGATTAAATCTATAAATATGTAATGATAGGCAAGATCTCCATCTTGCAATCTAAACCAGCTTAGATTCTGCTCCTGAAAGTGGGTGCTAAAAAAGTACTTTTCTCTACTGAACTCAGCCAAAGGGAATGAGAGATAACTGTAGATTTTCATCTATCTAAAGTTACTCAAATGTCACCTCCCCCAGACCCTCCAAAAAAAAAATCCTTACTTTAGATTGTGTAAGTTGAGGATCAGTAAAAGCGCAGGAGGCGATATTGTTCTAATCTTCTAAACAAGGTCCTACAAAGCAAATCTTAAAGATGACTGTAGTAAACTATGGGTATGCATTTAGGCTTTCCATAAAAAGATACTAATAAGTAGAAAATCAGACCTAAAGGAAGAGATACTACAACATACATTCACTCCTAAACCCACATAAATTTAAAAAAATGCATTTTCATTTCCAAATTTCAGAAGAGGATCTCTATCAGTAGGTAAGCTGCAGCTTCATGATATGCCATTAATGAGATCACATTCTACTGGTAGTAGTAGTATATCATTCAGACTGTATTAACAGCAACTGTAGATAAAGCTGTACACAAGCTGACGCCCAGACTCATACCTAAAATGGACCTTCTGAATAATCATCACTTTTACAGAAGTGACTAAGCTACACTGCTCCTCCTTCATTTTGAAGTCCTAAAGAACGTCTAGACATGCATTAAAACTTTTGCTAAGAGAAATGTCTCCTCTCCTGAATGAAAAGTTGGAGTCTCTCATTTATGTAAGGTCAAGTGTGGAGGAAGCAGTCTTCAGAAAAGCTGATAGGTTGGACAAGGAACTGAAAGAGGGGGTGAAGATATTATTCCTGAAGAAGTATGGATTTGAGTCTGATAGACTCCTGAATTGTAGGCCTGTCTATCACATCTGTTCAAACTCAGACACCTGCATTTTTCCTGTATCTGTACACAGCAACTAGCCCTCAGATTTCTTCATTATATTAGTCTCATCATTGTAATAACATGTATGTTAGTAACAGAAAAGACAGACTTGGACTATATTTGGCTAAAGATGAATACTGAAAGCAATGTTGACTTGATGAACTGCTCTTTTGCATCCAGCTAACTTATCTTCACAACAAAATTCAATGGGTGGAGAGAGATGCATGCAGGGACTTAAGAAGTGAACGCAATTTAAATATACAGGGACAGCATACACAGCGTGGAGGATGGAAAGGCAAGACCAGGATCAGAATTGTCAGCTGACTTTTCAGTACACATCAGAGATCTCAGCCACTGCATCTAAGGGTTTTAATGCTTCACCATTACCCCATTTTTCCATCCTTCACTCTTGACTGATTTGTCCAAAAAAGATGACAACAATGAAAATGGAGCTGTTGAAGGAATGGCAGCAACTGCACTCGCAGTAAAAGATGGCTCAGCCTACTGCCTTTTGGGTGCTTAAAAATTAAGTTCTACTACTGTCATCCATGACAGCTCACACACCAAGCTGGTGAGCAACTACTATATATAGTCATTTTGGCTCAGTCACCAAACTAAAAGCAAGTTTTCAGTGTGCTGCACAAGACTTAAACTTTAATATGTAACAAAAGGTTTGGGAAACTGCTCATGTCAAGGGAAGAAGCTCTATGTACCATTGATGTGAGCAATTGTTAAATTACTTAGGTGTCAAGGACTGCACAGGGACTCCCCTTTTTCTGGGTACATAGGTTAAGTAAGTCAGAAAGCAATCAGAAAAACACAATAAAAATACTTACTATATGACTGATTCCAGTTTCAGCCATGTCAAATACCACTGTTAAGGGCTTTCCATGATCTCTCTTGGCATAATGTTCTAACCAAAAAGCTACCAGTTTCTTTTTCTCAAGTTGTTGTTTAGGATCTCTTGTATGATGTTTCACTCTGAACCAAACTTGTGAAAGAGAGAAAAAACATATACAAAAATTGAAACAGACCAAGTTATCAGAAAACATTATGCAAATAACTATACAGGATGCACTGAAATTGATTAACACCCCTGAGTTTGTATTCTACATTTCTTCTGATTTTATGGCCACAGAACAGCTAGAAAGACAGCTGTATACCTTACCCCACCTCCCTTTCCTTGCTCACATTTTTATACTGGAACTTTTTAGAAATTGAAAATAAAGAACTACAGCACAGAAGAAACAGGAGAGTGAAAAAATACTTTTCATGTATTTAAAGACTACTTATCTAGATTACAATTTCATAATTTCAAATTAAATCACATGGTCTTCAGATTTGATATTATGTTCTGCATATATTCTAAGTATTGTTGTGAAATTTATGTTTCTTTTCCTGCTTAGGTTTTCTACAGCATTGTAGTTGACGTGTTTTGAAAAACTATTTATACACACATTATGAATTATACAAAAAGCAACAGACCTTTCTAAAATAAAATGAAAAAAATCCAGATGAGCAACATTATATAAATGAAAGCCCAATACATACCCTTCTGGAATAAGAAATAAGTCATGCAAAGACAAGTTTTTTCCATGAGAAGTAGCATATTTCAAAGTAACAGACTTTATAAAAATGTCTGAAACCAAATTACTGATTATACAATGAAGTGATACAAGAAATATTTGGGGCAGCAATGAAAAGCAGCCTTCATTTTTGGTACCTCCACAATACCAAAATTAGACAAGCCCTGAAAATAATTGTAGATATACTCTAATATTTTTCTGTGAAACTTGGAAAGTCTTACTAAAAAACAGATTTCTTCTCCATGTCTTTTACTGCCAATTGCAAATAAAAAAAATTTATGGCTTATGTAAAGAAACAAACTTTTTTTTTTTTACACATAGTATATTAACTAGATGCTCTAAGTTCAGAATTTCAAAGATACCCCTATTCAAACACAGGACTCTTGTGAAAGTAACCAATAATTCTTGAAGAACTTCATTATACTTTAAAATGTCTATTTTACATAACAGAATGAGAATGGAGCATGTGGCCCAAGAAGCACATTTCTCAAATGTTGACTAACCAGGAACTTTTAACTACAATACAATCTGAATTTACATACCAAGTCAGATATTCTGACCCAATTAACATTCACAAAAGAAACATTTCAGGTATGGAAAATTGAGATATTAGTTATGTTTCAGTGACAATAAAATCAGAAATCGTTATTTACCCAACTTACACATTCTTGTCATGAAACAATTGCATTATTTTCTCAGACCAAGCACTTATGCAAAGTAGTGATTTTTTTTTTTTTACTTCTCCCCTTCCCCCCAATCTCACCAAATTGGACCACCCAGTATAATCGTGCTCAGCTTTCTAAATGCTATTAAAAAAGGTATCACTGCCACTTATCCTTGAATACTTACCTTGGAGGCTAAAAGAAAAATCACAAAGCATAACAAAGCAGCGATTTTTCATACAGCACTGATATCTCACAATGATAAGAAAAGGGACAGTTGCTGTATTTTTCTGGTCATGACTTTTTTTGAAAACTAGTATATTGGTGTTTAAAAAACAGTCATTTCTGTAAAAGATTGGATTGTTAGTGTATTTCTGGGAGTACAAACTAGCCGTTGTAAACCAAGGAAAAGCAGAATTTCAGATTTAATTTTTTGTTTTTTTCAAGGTTCAAGATCATTGCTTAGAAAGCCTCATGAGTGATTTGTTTGAAAAGCCTCTTTTGCCTCGTAGGATTTAAGCTTAATTAAAAGTAAGTATGTGAGATGTTACAACAGATTAATTAATAGAAAATAATATTGACCACCTATTATACACTATTAAAACAATCTCAGGAGTATTTCAGGCAATATTTACTGTTTCTCTACAAATCTTATTCTTTAGTTACTAGAATTTAATCACAACTTGAGTTCATTCTCCAACAATTCTCAGCTATCCATGCTGTTACTGAACATTCCGATGACATCAGAAAAAATGAAAAAACAGGAAAACCATTGCAGACCTCCTGTGAACCACTGCTAGTATGCAAGGACGTGGGCTGCTAGAAAAGCAATGACAATGCACTGTAATAATGAACATTTATACTAGTCATATACTCACTACAGTAGACACAGAAACAATGCACTCTAACAGGAAAGTTAAAACCTGCATTATAATTAGGATAAAGGTTTATGATTTAAAACTGCTGATAAAGTTTCCTCATTCCACTTCTGTGATCCAGAGATACTCAAAATTACCATCTTCTCATAATTTTTAGTAAAAACAGTTGCCAGTATGTACCTACTTCTATTTTTAAATTGTTTGTTTTTCAAAATAGATACTAAAATGCTGGAAACAAAAAATAATGATCAGTGACTGATAATGTTATATTCTTCGTAACTTACATAATTTATAGCCCTCTTTATCATATCCATGCAGAAAGAGAGAACCATTTTCAAATAACCATTTTGGAAGGACAGATTCTGTCAAGTCTGCAAAGTCAAATGAAACATTATTTCAGTAATCATATTAATAATCCCATTGTAACTTAACAGAAGTTACTAAAAATGCTCCACCCTTTAATTCAGATTGTGAAGTCCTGTAGATAGAGCTCACCTTCAAAACATTCTCACAGTACAAAAACCAGATCTATTCTACCTAGGGAGTCAGAGCTACTGCTACTACAATGAAAAACAGAGCCTTGTTTTTTTGTGGGTTGTTTTGTTGGTTGCTTTTTTTTTTTTTAAAGGACTCCATTCTAGCAAATGAACAAAGACAAAACACAAGATAGCTGCCTGTCTTCACCCTAAACAACCTTTCAATAGACACATGAAACCACAACAAAACAGCAAGACAGTACTGGTCAACATAAAAAGCAATAGTTCTATTTTTTTTTTTTTTAATAAACTGAGTTGAAAAGTTCCTGCTCAGCTCTGTGGTACTTACAAAATCTTTAAAAGGTGCTTAATGAAGCTACATATAGAAGTCAGTTGTAGTTCTATAGGAAAGCAACACATACCATCAAAATCATTATATAACATAGCTTACCATTAACTGTATATTCTTTCCTCCACTGAAGGCTTTCATCAATCATCTTTAACGTATCATCCACAACATCATGACGCCAAATCAGATAATTTTCAACCCATTTATCATCTTGCTGAAGTCTTTCCACATCTCTAGAATCATATTTTTCTGATTTATCTAGTAAATAAATCAATTACTGTAAGAATATAGTATTTGCTATGAAAACACGAAGAGGAAATTTATCAGGTTTCAATATAAGCATCTACTAGGTACACAGCATTTCTTTTACAGTCTCAAACTTAAGCAGACAAAGCATAGCATGAGAAATTGATTAAAACCAACTATCTACTATGATAATATTTAGGAACACTACAAGATTACTCTCACTAGAAAAATATTTCCTGTGATACTTATTCCAAGAAAAAAAAAAATTAGAAAACAAGAAGGTGTGTGTAGGGCAGGTGTACTTTTTTAAAAACAGGTTTCTATAATTAACATAAATTAGTATGCAGTCTAAGAATGTTTACTGATGAATGTATACATTAAGCATCACTAGTTCAAGCTTGAGTTCTCAAACTTATAGGCATCAGCATGTCAGACCACAAAATGTCAGAGAACAGATGTTAAAATGACTATTTTTGACCATGCATTAAACAAAATTGTTTTCATTAAAGATTACACATTTTAACACTTGTTATAAATTGTTACCTTACTGAACACAAACTACATGCAACTCTAGAGCAGCACAAAATGCCCAAGCCTCAAACTCCTCTTGTATCAGGTTACCAACAAGATAACAGGTTAACATGCTTTAGGAAGTGATGAAACAGGAGTTGCTGCTGCTCATTACTTTTTTTTTTAATTATTTTTTAAACAGGAAAGTTTGTAAAATACAAATGCCCAAGTAGACCTATTTTTGTTGTAGATCTGCTTAAACAAAGGCTCAGTTTTCAGATCAATGCTCCTCTTTGATAAGTCTGCATAATCAGAATGCAAATCAAGTAAGAGTCCATGATAGAAACAGGCTTCTGAAAACAACAGACACTGATACACATCTCTTTGCTAACTACTAAAAAAAAAATCTTTTAAACTACTCAAATTTATTTGTGATTAGTATGAATAAAGTTAAGACTGGTTGTTAATAAAACAATGTTAATTTTCACATACTGGAAAGACAATTCCTTTGTCAGCAGCAATAAACTCAAAATAACTACTTTCAGGGCCATCATAATTAAAATAACTATTTAGAACACTGACTAGATGGTTTAGGGATGCATATTTCAATCAGACATCTTAACTCTGAGGAAGATGTTAAGAAAAAGACACCATTAAATTCTGCTAATATTTTTAGTTTTACTGGCCCACCTGCAAAGATATGACCTATTTTACTTGTCTTTAAATTTATACTGTCACAAATTAGTCAATGTAACTGTAAGAATATACCCATTTTAAACGCATCCATCCACCAAGAGTTATTATAGTTGCACTCCCCCAATGCACCTCTTCACACCCAACTGCTTCCCACATAATCTACTCAGTTCCTTCTTCATTAGGTTTCAAATTTCTCCTTCCCTTGATGCCATCCCACTACCTTACCTTGTTCCTTAGCCAAGCCTACAGTCAAATCCCACTTTCCTTAATCTCAGTCTCCTACTTGCTCCTCTGCCCAAAAGCCTCCAATCAACTAAAAACTCACTTTCAGTTCCTTCTCTCATCATTTCCATACTTGCACCGGACAGCTCATTCCCTATATTCTGACTAAGCCCAGTGAAGTGAATGCTCAGGACAAGACTGAAATGATATTTAACTTCTCTGTGGCTCTAGGTCAACCACAGATGGAACAAGCTGCAAAGATTTGGAGTATTAACTTTCATAAAGTCTCAACTGCTCATTTGAAATTTGATTATTCCCCCAATGATTATGATTTGGACAGTTTTGCCTGAGAAACACTAACAGTATCTAGTTTCAAGTTAGAGTCATAAAAAACTAATACTGGAGAGGATTTCTACAGGTCATCTCAGTCCTAACTCCTGCTCACAGCAAGGCTAACTTCCAAGTTCAAACAGGTCACTAAGTACCTTTGCCAGTCAAGTTTTGAAAACTCAAAATGGTAGAAAGATTCCACAGCATCTCTTCGTGTAACATGCATTCCAACCAAAAACCCCTTCAGAGATACTGTCATGTACAGTAACTAAGCTGGCACATCCACTGTCAGCTAAATTAAGAGAAGAACTGGCTTCTCTTAGCCATGGTATACTAGCTATTCCATGCTATGCATTATTCAATAAGGTACATTGGCTATTCAAGCCATCTATAGCTACTCATAGCCACAGAAAACTAGGGCTTTACAAGAGCTAAGATTTACTTTAACATCAGTATTACATGTCTCCAGTGCCTGAACTACCTTACTTCAACTTGGTTTAATAATCTCTAACACACACTAGCTCCCAGCTAGGACTGACTGCAGTTAATCAACCAACGAAGTATTTTTTTCTGAGATCAGTCCCATGTATATTCTATTTCTATAATGGATTCAGGTACTGTGTAACTAAAGAGAAAAAAAACACACACCAGCAGGTAAAAACTAAGAGGATAACATCTCACACTGCTTTCTGAGGCTCTCTTTGCTCTCAGTATCTGTTTGAGAGCAGAACTGTCAGAATGACAGAACAGTGCATCTTGTATCAAACAGTAATTCAAAAATATTCACATATCATGTGGAATGTGCCTCAGAACACACGTTTCTGGGCCACTAACAAGTTTTCCCAAACTCTGAACTTAGATAACATTAAAAAATAGAAATTTAACTTTGTGAATATTTTAAGAAAATGAAAGGGGAATGGAGGAAACATTTTATCTAAACTTTCCACATCAATGAAAAGCAAGCTGGATTCAGAGATAGGGACAGTTGAAAAAAAAAAAAGAAAATATTTTTCCTCTCTTCAGCAACTAAATTCTCAACAAGGTAACACATGTAGTCTCACTATATATATATTACAGCACACACTAAACCAGGAACAACTAGTCAAATTCCACCTCCACAGGCACTTGCAGGATGCCGGTTTTTCAATCAGGTAAGCTTAACAAGACTGATAGAACAACAGGTATACTTATTACTGTTTTAACCTTACCCAATTTATCCAATTCTTGCTACAAAATAAATAAAACTTAAAATGACATTGTGAACGCAAAAGTGTTTTATCTCACACATATAAAGCAGAGTGATATGAAATTGCTGGAGTCCTTCCAATAATCCAGTCATTGAAAAATATGTCAGTTCAGAGGAGGAATTTCTCTTCAAATTTGTGCATTTCCCATAATTCTACAGAAATCTAGAAACTTGTTTTCAAACTATGCTGTGAAATAATCCGAATGTTTCTAGTTTTAAATCACTCATGGAACACTTAACTGCAGTTACTGGATTATTAGAAATTTCTGGAGTTAGAACAGAATTAGTTGAAAGAAAATAGACCTTCAGGGTTCTCAGCACATAATTTAAACACACAACAATTAAGAGGCCAGAAAGGAAACAGACGTTGAGGGGTATCCAAATGGAAATTCAGGTGAAACTAAACTGAAGTATCTTACCTCAGACAATCTCCAAGCCTAGCCACTTAAGATACCTGTAAACATATACTGATGCTTTTCTCACTAGGAAGTGCCTGTTACTTCACACCTGCAGAACTGCCACTAAGATGCTGAGACGCTAAGTTTAATCACCCTTTACTCAGGGAGATGGACATCTCTGTAATTAAGTCCATAACAAACAGAATTTCATAAAGTATTTGGAACACACCCTCCTTGCCCCAGAAATAACACAAGGAACAGCATCCACAGCTACTTAGCTCAGAAAGTGCTAGTGAAAGCCACATATGCAACAGCAGTGTCAAGCTTTTGTGAAACATGTCATGGTTAAGACAATTGTCCAGAAGCTTGGAAACCTGGTTCCTCCCTCAGCCCAAGAGATTAAAATCTTACTGCATACCAGAGTAGTTCCACAGCCAGTGGAAAACACAAAACTGAGATGCCGCAAGACTCTTCTGTTGAACTGGTAAGCTGTGTAGAAACTAAGCAAGACTCGGATCCAGAAAAGCAAGAGAAAGCATCTGCTTAGCAAATCTGATATTTACCAGAGCATTAAAATCAAATTAAGTTATATATGCAGGAGTAACAGTGACAGCAGCAAGAGGAGCCCAAAATTAGCTCTCAATTCCCTTAGCTAAAAGGCCTTTGGGAAAGTCTGAGTGAACAAGGAGATTGACCAGGTCTCAGACAGAACTTTAAAGGTTTCAAAGTTCATAATTTTATTTAACCTTATTTTAAAAAAGGCTACTTAAAGTTACTTTTGTTTCCTTATTGAGCATTTAGGGTCAAGGATGAAGACAGAAAAAGTTCTGTTTGAACAGCAGCTTCTTCCCATAACTCATCTTCCTTTTTTCTTGCTTAAGCAAGTAGTTCTGTTCTTTCTATGACCACAATCACATTTAATAGCTGTCTTCTTCAAGCTGAAAAACTCATGGTGAAACTCTAGGACTTAATTACAATCTTCCAACATAAAGGATCCTGTATAACACAACATCTCTGAGAAGAACTCCAGAGTCACGCAAAACTAAATGAACACAAATTTCACTGCAACAATTCATGAAATTCTTTGATGCACAAATTTTAACATCCCCTCTCTTCGCACTTTTTTTTTTTCAGTGCTGTCTACATTACCAGGAGACCAATGCTGCACTGCTGTGTTTTCTTCTGGCATTCATGCTTTCGGAAAGATAATAGAAATTTGAGAATATACAAGAAGAATATAGAAGAAAGACTACAGGACACAGCACAGCTAAGTCCCACACTAAATTCATCCAGAAAATTTCAGAATTCACAACCTGTAAGAATGACTCCTCCCTTCAGGAAGAACTCTTATCTAGAAAAGAAATGTTACGGACCAAGTCATACACAAAGCTAAGTAGGTTTAGCAACTACATACCTTTGAATAGAGAAAAAACCCACTTCATTGTGCAAAAAACCTGGAAAAAAGCAACTTTGCAAAGTATGTCAAGTGTTTCATTACACAAAGCCTCTCAATTTAACTACTGCCTTAAGCTATTTCAGCCAAGAACACTCAGGTCTGAAGCAGTAATAATTATTCCTCTGACCTTGGCTAGAAGGAAGAAACCCACTTTAATTGGCTGTTGATGCCTAACATGTTAAGCTAAGTACTATAACCATTCAGGTATGTGCCTTCAATTGTTAGATGAGGAAATCGGCAAGACTGAAAACAATTTAAGGTCAGTAGCCATACAGGGACAGGGATGAAGAAAACAAAACTATTTCCACCCAATAAGGAGTTACTTCAACAAAATCATGTGGCAATAAACAAAGTATCTGCCTCCAAAAATTTGATAAATTTAAACTTTTAGCAAAACTGAACACTCTCAGTGACAATAAAGACTACTTTCAATAGAAAGCTCAAGCATTAATATCACATAGCTTTCTATAAAAGTATGGGGTTTATCCTATCCCTATGTATCCTATCTCATCTGTCCAGCATTTCTCAGCCTGAAAGCCAAGAAGCAGGGAAAACAGATTTTTCAGAGCATAAGCAGACATAAGCAGGTATTCAAAACATTACCTTAGGAGTCTTCTACAATAGTCATATCACTATGTTTCTTTGAGGGTGCCCCGTATCTTTAAAACTTTATTTGAATTTGGCCAATACAATTAACAAAACACATTTTGCTACTGGCTTAAAGAAAGTCATGAGGGAATTTCGTCTTTTAAATTGGAGTGGGAAACCCCTCTTGCAAAATCTTTTTCTGAAAATTAAGCTTTGCCTAAAGGAGAAAGGAAGAGGATACAAATGGGGAGGGACAGGGAATACAGGCAATAAGAAATGTTAAATATGCAAAAGGATGTATGGAAAAGACTTGTTGAATGGAAAAGTCTACCAAGATTTGATTATAAATAATTTCCACTGTAACATTAAAGCAATAGCCCAGAAATAAAAGCTAATTTCAGAAATCCCCTAAAGAATGAAAATGCACTGAATAAAAAGACAAGACTGTTTGCTAGAAAACATTGTTAGTACCAGTCAGTACTATAAAATTATCTTTTGTTTTCATTGTTCCTGTCACCACCCAAATAATTTACATCACCAATTCTCTCAAAGAATCCAAACAGACAAAAGAGATATTAGGCCCCAAACCTCGAAGACAAGCACTGTCTACCTACCAGATAAGACAGCATTTGCTTGCCTATGGGACTAACAGTAACTTTTCGGTATTGGAAATATGCCTTTTAAATGCAAGTGTTTTAATTACTAGGGATATACGTTCCTCACAAGAACTGAAGTTGTCTTTCAAATACAGCTAGAAAATGAACTGAAGAGAAAAAAAACCCACCACCACGAGAGATGTCAGTTAACATTAAACACTGCTTTGCAGATAAGATCTCACTGTGGCCAAGCTTTCCTGCTAGAACCCCTTTACTTAACTTTAATCTAAAACATTGTATTTTGGCAATAAATAATTTCAAACAAAAATCAGGATTTCAAAGGCCCTCTAAGTTTTCATTTCACAACAAAACTACACATTACTGCAAGACTATCACAGTATTTGTGACCATTAGCAATTCTTCCTGAATGGTAGGGGAAAAAACAGTAACTGTAAGTTTCATAATATGGAAGAATCACTTCATAACAGAAACACCAAGTTTCTAGAATAATCAGGAACACTTTTCCCCTGAAGGGAAATAAAACAGTGGCAGCTGCACTCCCCAGAAACAAGACTGCCTGAAAGTTTTACTCAAATTTTAACACTTGCAGCTCACCTGAAATGGAACTAGGTTCCTTCTGTAGAGGCCCACAATTCTATGACCACATTAAACTTTCACAGAAAGTATCAGTTTCTCAGTGTGCCTTGAGAGTGCCCTTAGTTTTGAAAGCAGACTAAAATTGCTGGATATGAAGTGATCATTTGTACCTTTACAACACAGAAAATCATGTTCAGGAGTGTCTGCACACATGCACCTCCACACCCCATTTCAATTAAGAAGAAACATAAAAGAATACATTTTAGAACACGTACAGTAAAGGCTGAAGGGCCACAATAAAACTAAAACCCTGTGTTTTTCACACTTAAAGTGGGCATGACAACATTAAATTTGCTTGTGGCATTCCTAAATTTGAAGGAGGGAATTAAGAATGTAAACTCAAAAAAATCCTAATCCTATTTTCTTGAAAGGGCTAAGAGCCCTAAACCATGGCCCAAAAACGGGCTTAGGGAGAAAATGTGTTCAAAATACTGCAAATAGGATTACAGCTTACCTTGCAACAGTATTCAATTATTTTAATGGCTGTAACAACCAGCCCAACAGAGTCTTTGTTACAACTGGAGAAACCTGTGGAACTCCAAGATTGTAAGGGATAGTTCAATTGAAAAGCTAATACTCCCTTTTAGCAGCAACTACCCCAAAGCAATTCTAGGATTTCCAAAGTCATTTTCTGAGTGTGACTCTGAGATAATACAATACAAAGCAAGATGAAATCACTTATCATAGGAAAATATACACATTAACTGAAAATATTAACAGCCAAAAGAATTTCTAATTTAAGATGATGCTCCACTCTCCAGAGGCTGACCTTTAAGACTGCCAAAGACATCTTTATTCACACAGAAATATCAAATGGCAAAATAAGCTCTCTCTTTTTCAAGACACTATTCTAATAATTTTGTCATCTTGCCAGAAATACAGGTCATCTCTAACCAAGGCCAACTAGTTTCCTTTATGAAAGTCAGCAGAGCAGCCCTATGAAACAAAGTTGCACCACCCCCAAGACCCTTAAATTTTGCAAGAAAAGTGCTATAGACCATCATAAAGAAGTCATAGAAGCATGCAACCCTTACATAAAAGTGATAACTAGGTAACCTCAATAATTCTGATCGGGAACATCAAAGTAAGGCATGTGTTTGCAGGACTGAGGCTTATATTAAAGGAGCTGCCCTCAACTCCTAAACTACTGGGCTTTTACTGTATTTGCATTAAAAATTGGATAGAAGCAAGTTTTTAATAGAATGTCTTTACATGGTTATAATAAAACATACTGCTTACTGCAGCTGTTAGCATACTCTACTACTACATACTCTCCTATCACAAACAATGCAAATCAACCTTGAAGTTAAAGGAAACCCCTCTAGGCTTACCCCGGTATTCCCTTTCCCCGAGGCATCCCAGCACCTCCTGGCCTTCATTTACAAGTTTAAAAGCATCCGCACTCCAGAATCGAGTTGGACACGCAGCATGATTTTAATTAAGGCCAGCGTGAACTGAAGTGCAAGTTACTCTAGAAAAACAGCTCCTTCCTTGACAAACTGGTCGAGGTCAGAACTCTTTTCTGCTCTCCCAACCCCCGACGTATTTTATGTCCAAAAAGCACCAAGCACAGCAGCGTCCCAGACCCCCACAGGACAGCCGACCAAACGTAACTGCGAGTCGAAAGGACCCAGACCTTTGCCCCAGGACAGAAGAGAGCACCAAGAGCCAACACGGGGAGACCCTCCTGCTTCGCGCACCACCCCCACCCGCCAGCTCCGGCCACCTGAGGAGAAGGCGCAGACACCCGCTCACCCGGGAAAACGGCCACAGCGGAAGCCCACGCGGGAAAAGCCCCCGAGACCACATCCACGGAGCCCACCGCCCCCAGCCCCGCCGCCGAGGCGCTCACCTGCCAGGTACTCCGCCTCGAAACGCCGCCTGGTCTCGCTTATCAGCGCGGCCTTGTCCTGTCGCTGCTGAGGGGAAACGACAAACGGGAGGGGCGTGAAAGGAAGGGAAAGGCCGGGGCCCGGGTCAGCCCCGGCCCCTCACCTGTGCCGTGCCGCACGGCGGGCCCAGCTCCCCCCGGCCCCCAGCCGCTGAACCGGCCGGCGAGAGGAGGGGAGTCCGGGCGCGCAGGGTCTCACCTCAGCCATGGATCCGGCGGAGCCGCCCCGACGGCGGGCGGGCGAGCGGGGCAGCCAGAAATGGGGCTGGAGGCGTCGCGTGACCCCGGCGGGGGGGCGGGGCGCCAGGGCGAAAGGGGGCGGCGCCTAGCCGGCGGCCAACCACCCAGAAGCCTCGCCCCCGCCGGCCCCGCCTCTTTCCCGGGGGCTTAGCCCTCTCCCGCTGGCTCCGCCCTCCGCGCCGGTTCATGTTCGCGCCCTCCTCCCTCTCTCGCTCCCGTCATGCTCCGGGCGGCGGGAATTTCGGAGCGGGCGGGCTCCTCTCGCTTTCTGCCTTCCCCGCCCGCCCGCCCGGGAGCGGCCGCCGGAGCCGGGTAAGGCCTCGCCGGCGCGCAGCCTGCCGTCGCCGGTCCTCTCTCTGTAGGAGCTCGCATCGACCCCCGCCGGGCCGGGCGGAGAGGGCCTTAACCGCCGTCCACGGCTTTTCAGGGGGCGGAAGGCGGGCCGGGCCCCGCTGCCGCCTCAGCCCGCGGGGAGTGCCGCCGGGCGCGGGGAAGGGGGTGGTGGGGCCCGGCCCGAGGCTGTGAGGGGCGGCGGGGGCGGCTCGGCTTGGCCGGGAACCCCCACCACCACCTCAGCCGGTGAGGGAGGCCGCTCTGCGGGGCGCCTGAGCCGGGCGAGGGGCGTCGCTTGGTAGCCCGAAAGCTGCGTGAGACCCGGCTGCGGTTCGCTCGGGGTCCCGGCGGAGGGAGGGAGCCTCCTTGGCGGCAAGGTGACTGGACTCTTCAGAGAACTTTCGCTTTAAAGAGGCTTTGCGATTTCGACCAAGAACGAGTTGTATTTATTAATAAAGCCTGCACGGGCGTGAAGGCTCTTAAATTGGAGAATTCAAAGCACCGTTGCTTTCCAGTCCCCTCGGTGGATTTGTGGAGCTGACGCCTCCATTTCAACCGCACAAACAGTGCGTGTATGGTTTGGTTTGGTTTGGTTTCTTTGAATTTATATTACGCCGCGTAACTGTTGACGAGCAGAGAATTCACGCTTTGTTAAATCAGCCCTAGAATGCACTTCTGAAATCTTTCTGTTACGTAAATCTCTCAATGCAAAATTGCTTAACTTCATTTTAATCTGTGAGATTAAATGACATGCTGGCCTTGTGTTCTCGAATTAGTCGATCTCATTGCTTTGCAATGTATAGTTTTCCTTGTTCTTAAGGATCAGTTCAGCTAGTCCCAAAAAGATTTAATTTTTTTTGTTGTCATTTGCTTTTGTAGATGGAAAATTTCCAGATAGGTTAAAATTTCTGCAGAGAAATAATCCTGACAAAAATGGAGACGCACACGGTTTTCTTGTAGAGGAATATCCATAAAGATAAACGAAGATGTTTCTGGGTAAGCAAGAACACTTACTGTCCTACAACGGTGAAGTCCTTATATTTCAGCTGTCAAAACCAAAACATGTCGAGGGAGCAGCTGATAAAACAATGAATTTATGTGTCAGAAGAATGTCATTCAACAGAGACACTAAGCTGTTTGTTCAGAAGTCTTCTGGATTATTCAGCATGCGTGCCAGTCATTTAAAAATTGAAATAATTTGTTGTAGCTGCGCAACGGATTCCAGAACAGGGATTATTCTTCCCTGCATTTTGATGAAAAAGAAAAAACGGAACAATGTTTTCAGATACCTTTTATTGTTGCTTCACGGCTCAAATCAATTTGAGCAGTCCTTTTATTTTAAATTGGATTATGAGCTGAAAGAAGACATCAGGTTGTTTACTGGCCCTTCAGTCTTGTGGAGGCATGCCAACAAGCTGTTCTACATCTCTTCTGACACCTGCACAGTTCTAAGTGCTCCTGTTCAGCTGTCTTCTGTTGTGTGGACAGGTGAAATTGCAGATGAAGGCACTGTTGTCTTAGGGACAGGAACTGCTTGCCTGCCAGAGAGTGAAGATGAGGATGAGTTTTCCACTTCAGACAGAGCCATCTGGGGTAGCGAGTTCTTTGGATATGCAGTTAAAACACAAAAAATGCTAACTGGCACATGCTTTATGCCTCATGCTTATAGCAGAGTGGTATCTTCTGTCTACGTCTGCAAGAATGAGATATCGAAAAAACAGCTCCGAATATCACTTGTTGCCATAACCCACAAGAATCAGCTTATTTGGTTCCAAGATGGTCTCCCTAAAGGTGTTTGTGAGCTTCCTTATGAGAAACCATGTTCAGTAAAAACAGCTGTAACCAGTAGCAGTGATTTGCTATTTATTGTGTCTTTTGCCTCCGGAAATATCTGTGTTGTACAGAGGAGAGACAGCTTACAGGTATTTGTGACTTTAAACAACTCGCTTTTACTACTGTATCTATTTTGTCTATATCGTCTCATTGGAAGCTTCTGCAACTTAAAAGCTATGTGTTTAAATTCTATAGATTTTTTTTGTTGTTGTTATTGTTGCTTCTGTTAACCTGTCTAAAATATGAGATTGTTTTGCTTTCATTGTTTGTTTATATATCTGAAAATAAACCCTGGATTCTATTGTTTAATGATACATTTTATGAATCTGAGCCAAAGCTTCTGTTGCTAATTGAAAACTTCCATAGCATGAGAATCTGAAGCTGTAAGATAGTTATGAGTGTGCCTACATAATTTGTGTTAAAGTGAAAGCAAACTGATATCATTGCAAAGCATAAACTTCTCACTGGAATTTAAAAGCCTTTTGAGTCTCACTTCCTAGTAACAAAAAATATTGTTTCATCAAAAAGACAAGAAGAGGCCTTGGTTTTGTTTCCTAAAGTCAGGAGGGGCAAAGTTAACTGCTAGGGTTTTGTAATACTCTGTCAAGAAGACTTACATAACTCAGGAAATGAAAGTTTGTCCTATTTAGTCATCAGCATTATTGTACAAATTTGTCTTTATCTCTCAAACATATTTAAGTATGCAATGCAACAAAGATATTTCTGAATGTCAAAGGTATAATGTCTTTAACTGATCTGCAAGTATTACTGGTTCTAAATGAATGTTACAGCATTCAGCTACTAAGCTGTTTGACTACACTGAAAAGTTCTCTGCAACCTGTATTCTGGAAAATGATCTTTAAAGACAAATGGCTGATTTTTCCCTGAGTCACATGGGCTCTAAATGATAAAGTGAGAGCTTGAAACTTCTTAAAATTCTGTATTCTGCACACCTGAATAGGCTGCCTTTTTATAAACAGCAAGCTTCACCAAAACGAAATCTCAAATACAAGATATATTCAAATACATGTGTCTTAAAACCTCTTCTACTGTAGGTGGCTTCCAAATGGCAAAAAGTGAAGTCTGTTCTGGTGGATGATTTTACTGGCTCTGGAAGCGAGCAACTGTTACTTGTTTTGAAGGATGACTCCAATACAGAAGTGTTAAGTACATTCATACTAACAGATCTTGGAGAGGTCAACTATGCAGTAAGTTCAACTTGCCTTTTCTCAGCTACTCAGTCTGTGCTTACTAAATTAAGAAAACCTCAACAAATTGTTAAAGTATTGGTGCAAAGTGAAATTGGATGTGTGCTGTGAAATGCCCTGAAGTTTGAATATTCCCCGCTGTAATCGTAAGATATCTAAAGAGATTATTCTAGTTCCTTGTTAGCATCAACATTCTTTTGGGAAATTAAAGGAATGCAGTTGAAAACACTTCACATATGTAACAGGTTTGCTACAATGCTTACCTTTTGGTTAAGAACTCTTAATTAAGGCCATAGTGCTTGTTAATTATCTTCTTATAATTGGTCTTTCCATTATGTACTGTCAAACTCCAGTTGCTTTCAGAAGATAAGATTTTTCTTTTAAAGTGCATACTGTGGTTCTGCTGGGTTTCTGTATTTTCCCCCAGATTTTTATAATGCCATGTAATAGCCTGTACCTTACTTTCAGCTTTTTAATTAAATCAGTGTTTTGGTTTGGTTTTTTAGAGTGGTATTAATTATAAACATGATGTTCCTGCTGCAGAAGGATTGCAAGAGAATGGTTTGCTTACTGTCCAAGCCCTTGAAACAAGATTACAGGTTTGTACTCGATAGTTCTGCCTCCACGTTTTCTCCAAATTACTTTTCGGTATTATTACATTTTTCTAAAGGGTGAGGATAATGATACTGTTTTTATTGGAGAAGTGGTTCAGGGAGAAGACAACATTGTTAAGTATCCATTCTTGCATCAGTGGTCATCTGTGTTTCAGTTCTCTCAGTTGTTACAAATTCATTTGGGTCATTGGAAGGGTCTAATTTAATTTTAATTAAAAGTTTGAGATAATGCTGAAGATAACCTATCAAAGCTTCAGAACAGTAATTTTACTCATAGATGTTTAAATACCATTTTAGTAAAATTAGAACATTTGCTTCTTTTGCTCCACATTACATACTTTGAGAAAGTGTAGTGTCAGGTTCCCAGTGAGTGGTAGTTAATCCTTAAAGAGCAGCGTTATGGTCTGTTTCTTTGTCCACGGAATTCAATCAAGTTGGCTTTTACTTTTGCCCAAATTAGTGACCATGGTTATTTCACCACCTGGTGATGTTTTTCCTCCTGTTACTAGCAGTTTTATAAGGATAATTTTGCAAAGTGCAGTAGATGAAGCTAAAATGTATCCTTATAATTAGCATCATTTATAAAACAAGCCCGGGGAAACTTTGCAGAGTCCAAGTAATCAATGGCAATATATCTTTGCCTGTCTTGCTTTCTACCTTTCATCCTGTTAATAAACACCCAGCATACTCTCCAAGATGTTCTTTTGCAGTATTGTGCCTTGGCCTATACCATAGGGGTAATAACTGACAAAATAGGAAGATTATTTAACAAAAAAAGAAAAAAAGCTTTATGAGATAGCATAAATCTCAAATTGAGTCAATAGTGTGAGGCTATTGTTTGCTCAGAGTGCTTTAAGTATGATAGGTGGTAATTATTCCTGTCATTTGAGAATTAGTGAAAACTTAAGTAAGATATTGTGGCAATTCTATCTCCAGCCTTTAAAAATGAAGCAAATTAACTGGCAAAAGTTTAGTACTGGAAGAAAAGGAGGACTATGACCTATTAGGAAAAGACTGAAAAAGAAAAGACTTTT